ATATCTTGTTTACCATCACCCAAATGCAGAGAGAGAGTGGGTCTAGAAGGTGGAGTCCTCACAACAGCTAGTGCACGGTAGGCTCCATATCCTGGAAGAAGCCTGTGACAGAAAGACAGAGATGCCTATTCTCCAAGTAGTTTGTAGCAACAGACCTTTAACCCTGACTTGCTTCCAGGGAAGCTCTGTTTTTGTTTCAACTTCTTTTTGGTGGTAGAGAGGGGGATGAGAAAGTTAAGAATAATGCTGTTCAAAATGAGCTGTGACTATTCAGAGGCAGTGTCAAATCTGTACCTTCTAATGTATTGTTTCTTTCATTTTGAATTACTGAATCTCCATTTTTGTTTCATTGCTTATACTCAGTAATTCTACAGTTCAAAGGTAAAAGAGAGAGCTATAAGTACCCTTTTCCTCCTAGAGAAAAGGCTGCAATATCTTCATGGATAGAGAATTTGTCTTGTGCATTTATATCCACCCAATACTGTGTCTTCTATACATCAATCATTAAATATATATTGTGCCCATGCTAACTCATGCCTATTTTATGATACAAATATTTCTGCTTCCTTATCTGTTTCATTTTTTTTTTCCTCAGCCAGGCTTTCATTCTATCCTCCTGAGCCCACTCTTGCTGAAGTCACCAAGGACCTCCTAATTGCCACATTGCAGATGCGTAGGTTCTGTAGTGCAGTATGTTGCCATCCTTGATTTTTCCCTTCCCTTGACTTCTGGGCCTCCCTGCTTTCCTGGCCTCTCTGCCCCTCCAGGGGCTCTTCTCTTAGTCTCTTGACTATCTCTGCTTTCAATGTCCCCTGAAAGTTGGTGGTCCCCAGAATTCCGATTTACCACCCTCTCCCATCTCACTTTTATGTTTTTTAGTTCATCCTTACCTAAAGCCTTGACTACACTGGTAACTCCCAAGCTACATTTCCAGCTCTCGCTTCTCTCCTAAGCCCTGATCCTGTATCTCCAACAGCCTTACTTGACAGCAGCAATACAGGGGGGGACCCTCTCAATACAGGAACCTAATAATGCATGATTTCTTCTTCACCCTCCCTTCTCTTGGATTCTCTAGCTTAGTTCATGACATCACTTTTCACACATCTAGCCTTGCATGTGCAGTGCAGTTGCTCATGCCTAGAGCAATAATTTTCAACAGGAGTCAATTTTGCCCTGTACGACCTTTGGCAATATCTGGAGACATTTTTTGATTGTCACAACTAGAAGAGAGTAGTGTTACAAGCATCTAGTGGGTGGAGGCCAAAGATGCTATTGAACATCCTAAGGCCCAGGACAGCACCTCCACAAGAAAAAGTATCCATCCCAAATGTCAATAGTGCTGAGATGGAGAATCTCTGCTCTAGAATATCCTCTTTGATTTCGCTGCCTGATGAACTCCAACTCACCAACTACCAAGACTCAGCTCAAATGTCACCACTTCTGTGAAGTCTTTCTCTACCAACTAGGTCCTCTCCTCCAGACAAGTATTCTTGCATCTTTCTCACTTTCTCATACACACTTCTATTTTAGCACATCACATATTAGACTGAATTTCTGTTTGTTTACCAGTGTATCCCTATTACTAGCATGGGAGTTCCCTCAAGTAGAGACCGTATTTTATTATCTTTTATTCCTAGGACTTGGGGTCAGTGCCTGGCAAATAGTAGGCACTCAAATGCATGCTAGATGAATGAATTAAAGAAATCATATCTACAGAGAAATCCAAACTATTTCTGAAACAAACAATTCAGCTCCCTGAACTACTCTGAAGCTAATATTATAGTTCCTCAGTTCTAAGAGATATGCATTTATAAGCATACATCTCTCACCAAATTTCTAGAACTAGACATTCACATTGCATCACAGTTTTAGAGTCAATATTTATATGTTATATTGGTTTTTATAGGAAAGATTAAGTGTTGCTCAAAATTAACCAAATGTCTCTAAATATTCTGCTCAAATTAATAGGGGCTGAGAAAATAATGGAACACTAAAACAAATATATATTTAAAACACTTATTTTAGGAAGAACAACTAAGTAATCTTTTGAAATGTATGATCTTGAGATTAGTGTTCAAGACTTTTGAAATAACTGAGATAGGGTTTTTAAAGTTCTACTACACTAGGCTTAAACAATTTACCTACCCAGAATGAAGAAACAGAAAATAAAGAAAAAACTTATAACAAAAAGAAAAAATGTAAAGCCAAACTTTTGGGTAAAAATGTGCATATATGTGAAGAATGGAGGACATGTACAAACCTGGGTAAAATGCTGAGGTATTTTAAATAACAGGATAACAAAATCTCTGAGTATCCTAATAACATAACATAGGAGATTTGGAGAATAGATAGGAAAAAATAAAATAACAATTGAGTAAACTGTTCCAGAAAGTTTAGAAATCTGAAGAGTAATTTTTGTAACTAGATAAAAACTACTTCTTGACTGAGATGACAAAATATTACACACAAGGTTAAAACATCAATTATCTACTTTCAGATCAAAAGTCATTAGCCTTTACAAAAGTAATATCGTATTTCAAAAAGTATATATAAGAAACATATGCCAGTTATTATTATGTTCTTTGATAGCAAATAAAACATCATCATGCAGACTACAGAGTCCCATTTTCATTCTAAGTTGTAAACACAGAACAGAGCCCTGTTGCAGATACAGGTAAAAGTTTTCACTAGATTTTAAAATATTAGCCATTAATGAGCTGTTACTATTGAGAGCTAGAAACTGGATTCTATGCTGCTAGAGACTAGTAGCTAAACATGTAAGAAAAGAATTCGTAGACTCTCAGTGCTTTAGAAACCAGGGTCCCTGACCAAAGCAGTGATTTAATTTCACGGCTGCTCGGTAGAGATAGCTGACATTACTAAATGCTACTCTAATATCAACTTGTTAAATGTGAATCCAGACTCAGCATATCAGAATACTAACCCAGACTAACTGGAGTCATGGGAAATATTTTGGGAGCTGTTTATTTATAAATGAGTTACAATATGCCACTATAATTAGATTAATATATAATTATTGATAAACACAGGATTATTTCTAAAACCCCCGTATTGTTGCCACTGCTAAGTTTAGGAAAAACAACATTAGGATTTTTCTTTTAAGACCAGCCCTTACCAATCAATTAGATCAATTTAGATCTAGTCTATGTTGAATTTAGTGGACACTCTACTGCTTACCGGTACTTTTATATGGAATTGCTCAATAAACATTAAACGGAGGAACAAATTAAAACTCTCCAGCAAACTACATATTTCTGAACTATTTATAATCCAATAGTCTACCAAAAAATAGAATCTGCACAAAGCTAGACATTTGGCTGTCACAAAAAAAATACTTAAGTTAGCTTACCTAAGTTAAATAAAACTGATAAAAGTATGTATTTTTAGCTATGCAAAAAGGCATTTAGTCACACTTTATTAAAAAACATTAAAAATACTTTTTTTTCAAAAGTATCATTAACAACAAACTATATAATATTACCACAAAATCAACTATTTCAAGGCTATGTCTACAAATATATTTACCTATAAATATTTCTAAGTTAATTATACATTTCAGATTAATTAATTCATTAAATGTAAAATAAATTTACAAGGTACATGTAATTCAGTTTGCAAATTATTAACATGTTTCTTTATAGTGTCATTTCATTGCTTTCTTTCAGGAGGCAAAACAGTTTCATGGATTATAATCTCCTAAAGCTGTTTTTTTTTAAGTTTCATAAATAAAATAATCCTAAAACATAGATCAGAATTTGAAATCTGATCTTTATTCATCTTCAGTAAAGTATTTGCTTGTATTAACATTTGGGCATTGGGTAACAATAATATTTACGAGATTTCGAAAGAGAGAAAACTAGCAATTACTTAATATTTTATTTACCTAAAGCTACACGTCCAGAAGTTTAAAAAAATTTTTTTAAATATAGATATTGAGTGTTATATGAACACAGATAAACAGATAAGGGTTTTTTTTCCTCCTAAAATACTATGTACTGTCATCCAGAATTGGTTTAGCCAGAAAAAAAAAAAAAATTAATTTCCTGGAATCTGGTGAGAACTTCCAAATACAGAAATTTTAAAAATCTACTTAAGTTCAAATACTTTGGAAAATCTATTTAAATTCAAATGCTTTGGAAAGGCTCAATTATATAAAAAAACTGCTTTGGTTAAGATACATTAGAGTTAAATGACTAATAAACAAAATTACCAAAATAACAAATTAATAAGGTAACTAGGAGTATTTGGGAAATGCTTAGCAATTGAAACCAAATTCAAAAAATATAAAATTTAGAATTCAATGCTGTTGAAAGACTAAGTTACATTTTAGAAGGTAGTCAACTGGTAGCTAAAGGAAAACTGGGTGGAAACAAAATTCCTGTGGTTAAGGGTATATACAGATGCAAATGCCAGTTATTTTTCCTGTGCTTTAAAACAGCAGCATAATAGTTTTTATCAATGTTCTACTAAATACGCATATTTTAGAGAAACATTTTCTCTGTGTTCATTTGTGAAAAGATTTTCACATTTTTATGTAGGCTTTTTATTGTTTAGTATTTTAAATAAGTATTCTATATTTTACCTATTTCACATTGATTAAGGAGGGGAGAATGCTTAAATGAACACTTTTGAAAGTAGGAATAAAATATGGAGTTAGACATTAAAATGCTACATTACTTGAAGAAAAAAAATATACCAAGGTAAAAATATTATGAAATAAATTATTATTTAAAGCTTGTTTTCATGCTACAGAAATGTTTCATGGCTTAAATCAGTTTAGAGAGTTTTTTTTTAATGCATATTTTTGACACTAGTAAAATAACAGAGAGTGAAAAACTATTGAGGGTTCCTCAGATTTACAAATACGAAGATTATGACTATAAAACACTTGCTAACTAAGTTCTAATATATTTCAACCAAATAGTTCATAAAGCTTTTCTAGTATAAATTAACAATTACCAAGACCAAAGGAAACTTACCTTACAAGAATGCTTTAAAGAATTAGATAGTTCATTTGTGAAATCTCTGTTACTGTCTCTTGATAAGTTATCAACTTTATCTTCATTTCCAGGTGCAAATTTTATGAGTAATTGTGATGGTCCCCCCTTAGAACAATTGTGCTTGAGGCTGGATAAACAGGAAACATTTGGGTAAGTTCCTCCCAATGAAACACTTCTCTGTAAAATAGCATGGTTTTTGTTTATCTGTAAATTTGGTCTTTCCAACTGTCCATTGATATTTATTTGGTAATCTAGGTGTGGAGAGGATGGTAAACATGCAGATGTCCTCTGCATAAGCTTAATGCACTCTGAATGAGAATTAAGCTTGATTTCTGACATCTCTGGTTTGCAATCACCACTTGCTGTTTCACAATCTAATGTAGTTGCTTTTTGTTGGGTGAAATGCACTGAAACACAAGAATACCCTTCAGACGACTTTTCACGGACGGTCTGATTCAGACTATCATTCGCAGTAACAATTTTCTTTTGTAATGAACCCTTCCTGTGAAGTGGTCGTATGTCTCTCACTTCTCCGGGAGTACAGATTGTTTTAGATAACCGAAGTCCATTGACAGCTGTTGAAAGAAATCCCTTAGTGCTACTACCATCTTCACTGTGGGCAATTTCACTAGGAGAAATAATAAATTGGTGTGAGGTTTGATAGGATCCTTTGCTTGGAAGAACGTCTGTACTTGTTGGAGAAGTCGGTGGGGTATTTAAAGGACTCCTAGGAAAAATGACTAAGGATGAACAACGTTTTAGTGGAATTTTCGAGTTCCTGGTCACTGGCAATTTCATAATTTCTAGTCCATGCTCCAAGTCATCCTGGACAAAAGGAACGGTACTTGGACTTCTAGAAAGAATGTCACATGGAGTAGTATTCCTGTTTGGCACACTTCTATTGGAGGTGCTGTCAGAAGATAAATTTCCACCAAAAAAAGTATCATCAGTTGGTGGAAAAGCATAACCACTGCTGTCACTGATGATACTGTTTGTGTAGGAACCACCACTTGTGATACTTGTGCATGATCCATAATCACTACCATTGCTGCTGTAAGACCCATTCTCACTGGTGGAAAAGTTACTGAGGCTCCCACTGTGAATGGCCGAACTGCTTACAAGGTTACCATCATTCACAGCATTCAGCTCATTATCAGCCACAGCATTGTTGTAAATGCCATCCTTAAAGACAGATGTAAATGAAGCATCATCACCATCAGCTAAGACATTGCCAGATTGAAGACATCCACTGTACCTTGTTGGTTGTAGTGAAATCTGCAGACAGCTGCTCTTTTTATTAACATTTTCAGGTGAAGGAACAGATGATCTTTCCTGAGAGTTAACGTTTTCCTGTATCAACGGAGCTAGTGCAGTCTGTCTAGGAGTCAGCTTCATTTGAACAACGTTAGACGTTGAAATCCGTGTTGGTCTTTTGAAGCACATGTGAACATTGCTATCCAAATCATCTCCGGAGGTTTCTGACAAAGGATAAGTATTGCTTCTTCTGGCTGCAAAGTGCAATCGTAAGCTTTGTGCCATTTGTTCTCATTTCCAAACATGTTAAGGGCTGAAAGTCATAACAAAGATCTCTGTCGGTAGACAGGCTAGAAGCAGCTGCACTGCATCGAAGGAAAAAATCATTTGTGGTGCCTAAAAGAGCTCTTAAGCAGTAGTCTTTATCCTAAGTAAAACCTTAGATACCAGATATCATAGAAAGAAAAAGACGACCCATTCCTGAGACTGACGTTTCCAAATATTTTGAATCGCTTGTAGTCAAAATGCCTTCACTTACAAAGCACTTGATTTCCAGCGCCCTTTAAGCTGAGCTCAGCTGCAGCGCACTGCCTCAAACACTGCCAACCTTGTTTCAATTATACCTTCTCCAATTTGCATGAATGAGTAACACAAGAACAACAATCTTCTAGCATTTCAAGTTGAAACAGTATTTTTTCACTCCTGCTCTACTAAATGAACATTTAACTATGTGAATCACGGAGTCTATACTTTCTCCAGCAGAGTTTGACCACTAATATTTTTACCCATAGGGATAAAATTACAGGAAGTTGGTAGGAATGAAACCCCATGTAATTGAGTATCAAATCAAGGATTGAATTTCCAAATAGTAGACAAACTAGGAATCTTGTCAAGTTAGTTAATGTAGAAAGGCATATATTCTGTTAATTTTTTTTTTTTAATGAGTGAATTCAAACAGTTATATAAGTTTGGAAGTACCAAAACTCTGGGGTGAATTAAAACTCAAGCATTAAATCAAATGGATAAATATTTTAGCTTCCAAAACACTACTTATAAAAAGTGAAAGCTTACGGATAGAAACACAAAATTAGCCTAGTAATACTATTGAAAAATTGAGCATAGGTCTGAGAAAGAAAAGTTTAAGAGAAGCTGTCACCAAGCATTTTCTTCTGTAATTTTAAGGCCTTTTCCAGCCAAGTAGTACAGTCTTTAAATGATGCCATTTATATTTTGACTATTAAAACTCTGCCAAGAAATAGCCTAAGCAAACATTCCATTAAAAATATATGCAGATTAGACAGAAAAACTATACCCCAATATAGTTTGAGCACACAAGATATTTTATTCCACTGTCTCTGCAATTCATTCACTTAAGAGAGTGTTGTGGTAAGTAAAGAAGTCTAAAAAGGATTTAACACATCAAATAAACATATCTCAATGCCAAATCTGTTCTGAAAACTCTAAGAGCTCTTTGCTGGCCCCTACTGGTGTGCTGAAACAATCCATTTAGCTGTTTGATACCTATAAAGAAATACAAACCATGCTGCATATTTCTTTGTATAAACAAAGTACATACTTGTTTACATTTTTGAGTACTAGCCTTGCCCTAGAGGTGGAATTACTTACTACTGCTGATAAAGCTCCCACAGTAGAGAACAGTAGACTGTTTGTCCTCCTAGAGGTTGTGATTTTGTATATATATTTTTTCTGCTTTGTATTTATTTAACCTTTACTTTATTTTCAGTTTACTAGGTAATAAAAGTTTAATATTTTAATTTCTCCCCTAAATGTCATAGACCAAGCTTGGTATTCTATTTGAAAGAAACAAATTTATTTTTAAATAATACTCTAGGGTATATTTAAACCCCTTACCTGAATTTTATAGCTGGAACTCCAGTAATAAATATATACTGGCTCATTCATAGGAAAGTAAAAAGTAAAACAGTTCAGTTGTTTACACCACATGGTACTACACCCAAGTTGTATTTTTCTAAGTAAGATTTTTTCTAAGTAAAAGTAAATATGTAAAACATATACTTGTACTTTGTTTAAAAGAGAAAACGCCTTAAGATAGATCTGTTCTTAATCATAATTTTCTAAACAGTATTTTAATCAATTAGGATATGATGAAATAGAAATATGGAACTTATGAAATTATATTTCTGACCAGGATGACATAGCACTAGGCTTTAGAATGTGTACAATAATTGTAAACTTAGCCATAAAATTATGCTATTTTGGTTTTATATAACCTACCTCTTTTACGATTTTACAGACTTCAGTAAACATTCCCTTATCAACCTCTCTCTTTATAGAAGAAAGAGCCTCAATCTTTTCACTTTGTCTTCAAGTGACTTCAACTTTTCTTCTTGAATTAAGTTACAGGTCTCATAACTCAAATAATGGAACACTTCTAACAGGCTGATTAATGAGATCTAATTGCTCATGCCTGTGGCCTAAAACTTTTAGTTAACAGGCAAAACTTTTCTGGTTGTTGATATAAAATAATAAGCCTCCGATATTTGGCTAGATAAATGTTTTCTCTTCGGTAAGCTTCACTGGAAACATCAGTTTTATGTGCCCTAACTAGATTTCAAGCTTCCAGAGTGTTAGAACCATAACTACAGATTTCTTCTGATCTTCCTGGGCTCATGGTGGGTACCACTGAGAAACACCACACACAGGAGGCTAAATGGATGGACAGAAATGCTTTCTTTCAGTGTTTTTTTTCCCCCAAACGTTGATCCAGCTATTACTTCTGAAGAAGTATCAAAAAGCACCCAGCCGCACAAGAAGGAATGATGATAGAAGGAGGGCCTTCTTTCAAGGAGGGCCTCAGCCAAGGAAAAGTAAGATTAGAGAATCACATGCACTTCCCAGCCAGCCAGTCTGAATTTTGGCTGTAGAAAGGCTGAAGAGTTTGTGTTACTGGCTCTGGCCCGGGATTGCACAGAACCTTTACCTGGTGGACCTGTACCACCATTAGAGCAGTTAAGTGGAGAACCTGGGGCAAAATGGAGCCCCTTAGCCAAAGATATTCCAAAAAAGGAGCATCAGCCTTAAACGTGAGTGAAGAGCTGGAGAGTGGTGACAGCCCTCACTTGGGAGTAATCTATGCAAGTCTTGTAGAATTTCACATTCTGGAATTAAATACATAATGCCTTAGGATCAGATTGGAGCTCAGGACCCCACATTCTGAGAGTTTGGTTATTGATTATATATACAGAAAATAATGTGATGATCTAAATGTCAGGGATCGACCCTGGATAGCCCTAATGATTGACTAGAACTTTGAAGGCCAAAGCCCACTGTGATGATTAATTGCATATATCAACTTGGCTAGGCTCTTTTGCCCAGCTATTTAGTCAAACAGCTGCCCAGATGTTGCTATGAAGGTATTTTTCAGATGTGATTAACATTTAAACCAGTAGATTTTGAGTAAAGCAGATTACCCTCCATGATGTGGTGGGCTTCATTAACAGCTAAAGGCCTTAAGAGCAAAGACAGGTTTCCTGAAGAAGAAACAATTCCATTTCATTCCACTTTCCATTACAACATAGAAACCTTGCCTAAGTTTCCAGCTTCCAGGCTTGCCTTACAGATTTCAGATTCAAGACTGTGACATCCACTCTTACCTGAATATTCAACCTGCTAGTCCCAGCACACAGACTTCAGACTTGCCAGCCTCCACAATCACATGAACCAATTCTTTAAATCAATCTTTCTCAACTTCTCTCCCCATCCCTCTCTCTCTTTCTTAATCTGTGTGTGTGTGTGTGTGTGTGTGTGTGTGTATCTCCTGTTGGTTTTGTTTCTCTGGAGAACTCTAATATGACCACTAAATTTAAGCACAGTATCTCCATTCAGAATATAGAATTAAAAAAAAAGAATATAGACTATAGGCATTTCCTAAAGTTTCAGAGGCTGGATGTGTGCAGGTGTATCTCTTAGGTCAGGGACAAAGAAGCACTAACTTTTTGAATTCATTTCAAGCCACATCATTCTGAAACGTGCCATTACTGTCATCACCACTACTATATCATCACCAAACTGCTAGTTTATAACCCTTAGGTCTTAAATTGATTAAACAAGAGGGACACAAGACTACTCTTTTTCAAAAAACAAATAACACTTATATTACAAATATTTTCCAGAGGACCAGAAATTGTTTCTGCTTAGAATTTCATCTGTGCTCTTCACCGAACATTTTCAAAGAGAAATTGCTAGGAAAAGGGTATGTTCTTAATTTGGTTTTGAATGCTATAGGGGAATAAATGTAAATGACATTTACACTAGCACAGGACATTTACTGCTATACAATCAAGCCTGTTACTCTACCAATGGCTTTAGTTTCTATAACATCTCAGGTGATATGTACTCTTCAATTACCTGCTAGGACTAACAACAAATCAGATGATTAGAATGACACACACTACCCTGTTCTAATTATTTCTTGTTTCCTTTTCCCAGTGAAGTGAACTTCTTGAGAAAAGCTATATTTCTAATGCAGAGCAGAGTATCCAACGTTGATACCCTAAAGGGCATGTTAACATGTCAGAAAGGAATATATTGAGTGATGATATTTTAATAAGTTCAAAAAAATGCAAAAGGAAACTATACTCAGGGATATATATATATACATGATAAACAAGTTTTTTCAAAGCAATGAGAAGCACAATATTCAGCAAAGCATTAAAATGTAATATTTTAAAAAATAAAGTAAGAATTTATATTATATTTGGAGGAAGAAAAGGAGATGCTGCTGGGGAGGGCAAAAGAAGGGTTGTAGATTTTGGTAATGTTCTAGTTTGTAAGTTGAATAATAAGTGCACAGATATTTGTCTTATTATTTAAAATAAGGATTTAGGGTGCGCCTGGATGGCTCAGTTGGTTAAGCATCTGCATTCAGCTCAGGTCATGATCCCAGAATTTCCATGCTGGGCTCCCTCTCAGCAGGGGAGTCTGCCTCTTGCTTCTCCTTTTCTCTATCCCTCTTCCTGCTTGCTCTTTTGCTTTCAAATTTTAAAAAAAATATTAGGGATCCCTGGGTGGCGCAGCGGTTTGGCGCCTGCCTTTGGCCCAGGGCGCGATCCTGGAGACTCGGGATCGAATCCCACGTCGGGCTCCCGGTGCATGGAGCCTGCTTCTCCCTCTGCCTGTGTCTCTGCCTCTCTCTCTCTCTCTGTGACTATCATAAATAAGTAAAAAAGAAAAAAAAAAAGAAAGGATTTATATTACATACACATTTTGTGTGTTTATTTCATGATTTAAAAAATACAAATACGGGGCAGCCCAGGTGGCTCAGCGGTTTAGCGCCACCTTCAGTCCAGGGTGTGTTCCTGGAGACCCAGAATCAAGTCTCACTTCAGGTTCCCTGCATGGAGCCTGCTTCTCCCTCTGCCTATGTGTCTGCCTCTCTCTTTCTCTCTGTGTCTCTCATGAAT